ACAAAACTCAAATTTTAAGTTTGGTCCCACTCGGCAAAAAGACATTGAAGGTGCAGAAACTGACTTAATACACTATTCTACTGAGTTTCAAATGTAAACAAATGCCGAGCAGTCATTTGAACGTTTTACGGCTACTCGTTTTTGAATTATGCGAGATACATACATACGTACGTACAGACATCAAGAACAAATTCTCTTCTGAATCTAGTTTGCAATCCTTTTTGCTAAAAACAGTCCTTTATTTTGTCCGTATGTACAGATGTCATGCAAAAAACATCGTTCAAATGGTTTGGAGAGCGGTTAAAATTGATATTTTCTTTGAAATATGATACCCGAAAAGTTTCGCGATTACAATACTTCCTTTACTACGTACAAAGAAGCCAAAATGACAATTCAAAATTTATTTAATATACATGCATAGAAAACGTAAGATTATTACACATTGTACATTATGTAAAATGTTATATTACGAATCATTCATTAATATTAAACATGGCATTAAAGGTTTATTCCTGTTTAAAAGGCCGAATACAGAATGATTCCCCCTTATAAAAATAAACACAAAACTCGGAATTTTACTACGAATTTAATAACATTTTATTCGCATATTTGATTTTTTAAATATAAAATTTGGGTACCGCAACTATATAGGATTTGTGTAGGTCTGAAGTAAGAAAACATTTTTTAATAATCAAGACTATTATCGCCATTCTTCGAACCAAACTCTTTCAAATAAAGCGTAAAATGTTGACACGGGAAAAAAAAAAAAAAAAAAAAAAAAAAAAAAACTGATTTTTAAACTTTTTTTTTTTTTTTTTAATTTTTGTTGATTAATGGAAAGTAGATAATGAGCATGTTTTTGTTCTAGTTGTAGTAGAGAATAATTACCAACCAATCATAAGGAAAGAGGATGTAATGCTTTCTGGAACTACTGAAGGTAATTAATCAGTACAACTTTAATTTTCAACGCAAAATTCAATGCATATTTGAAATCAGAGCACAGTTTCTAAAAATAGTGTAGGGTTTCACTCAATTAGCCAATTCAAATGTTTGTTATCTTTTCTGGACTCAACTTTCCCTCGCGTTTCCTCGCCAGGATGCTAAGTGAAGTGAGTATTTAAACTGGTGAATCTTGGAGTTTTTATTCACAGTGTCTTTTCGCTAGCCAGAGGACGTTACGAATCTGTCCTTGCTGTTACGCGGAGTTGCTGATACTCCTTTTGGCCATTAAAATAATTATCACGTCGGGTAGGTTGTCGAGTCAACCCAATTAGCTTTAACTTAAAGTGCTAGTCCAGCACTGCTCTTTAGATTTGAATTGATTTGGGTAACAACTCTTAAGTTCCACCGCAAGACGTTGGTGTTATTGTAAAGCATGAAGTGCGTGCTTTTCTGTTCGTAGTTGATAATAATAAAGGGTTATTTTCACCTTTCTTAAATGCTGGTATTATTTCACGCCTGTGCGAGAAGTCGCCAAGTTCCTTAGTAGGATCTATCAGAGTTTATATGACCAAAGAGAGTAAGATCCTATACTAATATATCTGGTAAGTAAATTCATAATCTATAGATTATAATCTTTCATAGAATTAACACCTCAAATAAATTAATATTTTAGAACGAAGATTAAAAATGATAACCGTATGTTTCCAAATACGAACCGATCTGCGCATAAGCCGAAAGATAAGATTTTATCGCAAAACTTCAACCAAAATTGAAAACCCGTACAGCCGAATTTAAAATCGCGCGATAAATCCTACTATTGAGTGTTGCTAAACAATAATTCTCAGATAGGAAAAAAAAAAAAAATCGTATCCTGCTATTTTTAAACTAAAATTTATCAGTTTAGCTGAGCAGTATTATGGATGGAATATTTTTTCAATTATTTTAACATCATTTTGTGATTAAATTATTTGTAAATTTGTCTCAACTCCTATAAGACAACACACAATCTCCGATAATAGAAAATTAGTTAAAAATTCTCGCCTTATAAGTACTAAAACATCTTTTACGAATTCTGCAATTTAATGACATATTGCTTCTTTAATAAATCAACGCTTAATAAGCAACAAAGAAGTTTAAAAAAATGTAATGGTGCTTTTATGCATTAAAACATATATATATATATATATATATACATAAATTTTCTTCTTTATACTGCATATTCTTCAAAAAAAAAAGGATGATTCGGCATTGAAATTGTTTACTGGCATTAATAAGCGGGGAAGAACGAGTTTAACTTCGTGAGTCCAATTTTCTTATATTTCAGAAATACCGCAGACATAGAATAATCCAAAACATTCTCGATTTCAGAATTACTTTATAATGAGTTTTTGAGGAATTTCTGACGGAAAATATTCTAAAAATAAATTGGCAATTGTAAAAGAAATAAAAAAAAGTAAAACGATAAAAATTCCGAAATTTGCAGATTTATTCGAAATTTACAAAAATGTTAATATTTACGAAACTTCTAAAATTCGAGGAAATAATAATAAGATATTCGCGCAGCACAGATGTTATAACTTCAGTGATAAATATTATTTTAAGCATTCTGTAACGATAAAAAAAAACTGCAAAACCTGTCTCTCTGTTTATTTATAATAACTGTTCCAAAAATTCTTTATGCAAGTGTGCTTATAGCATTACTTGCTTAAGAAATTTTTGATAAAAATATTAATAAAGAAGTTGACCTTATTTGGAGGAGTTCAAATTATCATCAAGATATCTTTCTTATCTGCCCTTTTTTTGGAGAGAGGAATACTTAAAATACTTTTGTATTACGAACTTATCAGACGGCCAAATAATGTAATGAGTTGAAATTGTAAATAAGAAGGTGAAGATTGAAATACTCGATTACAGGATTGAAATACTACTTGCCATTGTCTTTAACAAAAAGCGAGAGAAACTTTTTTGGATTAGTTATAGAAAGCAAATTCGTGAAAATTACACTTAAGTTTTACAAACAAGTTAAATTTTGAGTTAAACTTTATCCTATCTTTCTTGGTTAATGTCACAAGTTTCGCTCAGGCCAGAAAATTAAAGAAATTTTAAGGCGCGCAGCATAGTTTAAAAGTAAGAATTTAATTTTAATTGTGACGTGATGAAACGTTCGTGTTTCTGTTACTGAGAAATCGTGGAAGGCTAAAAAGTGGATAACAGCTATGCTCCTGGTAAATCATCTGTATATTTAGAAATGTAGACAGACCATGTGTTTAGCTTTGAATTAGAGCTTTGTTTTATGAACATCGGAAAGTTAGCTACAGAGCAGATCCATTTTTGTAATACTTTTAGTTTGGCGAGTCACGATTTCAGCTTGTATCATAATTTAAATGGCAATACATCAGACGTAGCTTCGTAATTTTATTTGGATTTCAGTTTGACTTGTTCAGTTTAATACTTGTTAAAAGTGATATATCGCCATCAGATAAAGATAACGATAGGTCAAGAGTTCAGATTAAGTCAATTTCGCATCCTTAGTCATAAAGTGATTAACTAAAAGACAAAAGAAGTAAACGACTATAACAAGTATGTGAATAAAGTTAAAAGCTTTTATTTTCAAAGTATGATATACATGTAAAAATACATATAAAAAATAAAAATATTTTAAATGCTTATATGTATATACTTCCCCTTTCCATCCTAAAACAACAATAACTACTCAGGACCAATCTAACTAATCATGACGCTCTAAACTGCGTCATTTCAAAATGAATTCATATAATATAATTTCTACATAACGCAGAAACATATACAAGGCTGCAGGCAATTATAAATTTAGAAAGTTATTATTACCCAATCAAAACAAAGTTAAACTGAAGCCAAATAATTCTGAATGGGGGTTTTATCTTGAGCACGTCACACTCATTCTCTCACTTCCGTCCTGCTAACTTACTAACGCCTGCTATTGCTGCTTCAAATTATTTTAGAATTCTTTACGGCACCAATGTAGTTCTTCAAGAACAGCCGCTTACTGCGCCATTTTATCTATGTTGGGTTGAAAATGTTTGTCAACGACAATAAAGCAATATTAAAATTGATACCACTGCTAATATTTTATTGCAGTTATACCTTTATGCGTATATTCGCCAACAGCATCCAAATCAGTTCATGTATATATATAATTACGATAACTAGCATACGCTTTTCTAAGCAATTATAAAGAACTTTTCAAAATTAAATAAAATTAACATAATGTACATTTTAACTAATCAAATTTTTTAATTTCCAACAAAAATTTTGAAAATACCCTTAATGCTAACTTTACTCTCTCGTTATTCTGTTTTAAGAATCATATTTTGAAAGTAAATAAAAATTATTATTATTATTATTATTATTATTAGCCCAAAGGGGCAATTTGTCCAGAAGGCCTATTAATTTCGTTCTGGCATTTTGCGCTGGTTCGTTATAAACGGTGTTTCACTTTTCACATTGTTGCCGCCAAAGCCCTGCATTATATTTAACGAAATTAAATAATGATGAATCGGCATGAATGTATGCATGTTTCTTGCACTGTGAAAAAAACAACAATTCCTAGAGACATCAAATTTTTAATAACATAGTACTCCACTCGAATATGGGCATCTGGAAGCCCAAATTTGGAATTTGTTTTATTATCGATTTCATATTTTGTAAAACTTTAACGAATTTTTAATTAACAAACTCAACGATTTCAAAGCGAGCAATGGCAACACTGTACGGAAAAGAAAAAAAAAATTATCTCCAGCGCCCGAGACTGTGTATTGGAATTCTAAAGATATGCTCTTGTTAAATTATTGGTGATATTGCTGTTGAATTGAATTTTATGGTTTAAGTGCGAAGAAATTTATATTTAATAAATAAATGTAACACACTAAACGTTAAAAAAGTCCCTTTGGGCATGTATAAAAATCTGAAAAATTTCAGCTTTTATTATTATTATTGTTATTATTATTATGAGCAATTTAGAGCAAAGATGTAAGCTGATTGTTTTTCCTTCAGGAAATAATATTTTAGATGAATATACATTTCTTTCAAAGTAAATTTAATTCAGAAGTCAAATTCTTATAAATGTAATTTCTATATAAAGTACTCAAAACAATTCATATCCCTACGTTTAAACTCATGCAAAAATCGACTTAGATTGTAGTTTAGTTTATAGATTATCGTTTCGCATGAGGAAGACAGATTGTTATTAGCTTTTAACAAATTTGTTCATCTTCAGGATTCTTAAAAATTTGGCAATGTAACAAATCTTCTAAATAGTATACAAAGTAATGATATAATTACATGCATTCACTTTTTCCACAGAAGTATGCATATTGAAAAAATAACAAAAGATTTATGATATATGTACATTTAAAATTCTTTTTCGTACATTTCATACAACCGAGAAAATTACTTTACATTTCCAACGGAAGAAAAAGTTTTCAAAAAGGTTATTTGAGTTTGGAATAACTTGTAATGTTTTAACTGGAAACAAAATAATACTTTATGTTAGAAAAAGCGAAGAGAAAACAAACTGAGTCTGAATAGGATGCATTCAGTTGAGCAAAGTTTACGCTTACAGTGCATAAAGTGTTGCCATACTTTTTTATATTCACTGCACAATTTATATTTGGGATGCAAATCAAATCACCTTCCCCTGTAAAAAATGTTACTACTTGTTTATTCATAAAGTTTATACGAACTTTTAACATACATAAATAAGAATTCACTATTTGAAAACATTGAAAGATATCAAAATGTTTAATTTCATTATTCTTTGTTTTGAAGCTGAGGATGGCAATGATTTGTAAAGCAATTTAAAATGGAATCCAAAGTTTTAAGACTTTAATCTTGGAAAACAGGTAAGATGTTATCTATCTATATATATATAAAATTGGCAATTTTAAGATTCCAGCAATACACTCCATAGGTTGTTATAAGCCTTTTGAATAAGATCTAATTTTTTAATTTTTATTCTGAACTGTTTTGAAGTTATTTTTAAGACATTAGGAGATGGATGAGCTTTAAGGCATGAATTGCCTACTTTATTTAGTGGTTACTTAAATTATTATCTATTGTTTAGCTATTATTTCCAGAGTTAGCATTGATATCAGCATTTTGATCAATATTATTCAGTAAGGCAAAGAGAAAAAAAAATGTGTGTGGTGATGTGGGAGCACTCAGTTGATCAATGTTTATGTTTACTAATAATGTCTCCGGAAATGAGAGTAATCAAAAACAGGTGATTGTGGGAACACTCAGTTGATCAATGTTTATGTTTACAAGTAGTGTCTCCAAATGAGAATAATCAAAAACAATCTAAAAAGATCACTGAACAGTAAAAAACGTTTAGTTCTTTCCGTGCATTTTTGAGAGTTTACATTAATATTAACACATCAAAAAGATTATTCGAGACATATCCCAGACCCTGGTCATTAAATCAAAGGCTGAACGTTGGACAGGACACAGGTACGTTAGTTGGCCATTTTGATTTAAAGCATCTGTCGATTCGTTAGAGAATAGGGGGCTTACTAGTTAGGTTAGAATAGAAATAGTTTAGGATAAAATAAACGACGAAGCTAAGGGAGAAATTTCAAAACTTAATTTTTTTTTTCAATTTTTCCTCCGATATTTTCTTAACAAAAATATAGAGAATTCAGTTTAGAAATCATTCTTCTTAAACCAGACTTCATTAAGGCGTTCTGTTTCACGCCATGGACTGTCGTACACATTAATATAATAGAAGGTAGTGTTGAGTGCTCCATTTATTGAAGCTGAAGCTTTCAAGGCGTCGGCTTCATTGTCCCATATGCTGTCTGAGCGAGCCTGTCCACCAAATGATCTGTAGAAAAGAAAGAAAGAGCGTTATTAGCAAATTCTATTTCAGAGGAATACCAAATCAACTAATTTCATGAAGAATATGATGCAAACTAATTTCTTATAGCCACATATATTTTATAAACTAAACGCTTAGGCGGCCAGAATTTGGTCTGGCGAGTTACGCATGCCAATAAAAAGGCTGGCGTCGGAAGCAGTTTCTTTACAAAATTCTGGAAAATCGCCTAATTAATATTTTTTTGTCCTTTTCGTTACAAAATGTAGTAAAAAGTTTGATATATAACCTATGAAAATTTCAGAACTTAATGACTGATACAATTTAGAATTTAAGTCCTAATAAAGAATATAACACAGTACAAAGTCCGATATTCGGAATCGTCGGGACTTTGGCATTTTCAGATTTTGGAAATTCCTGTATTTTAGACCATCAGTTTAAATCCAGTAAGATGACATGTAAAAATTATAAAATTAAAAATTTGAAATTGTTGTGACCTTAAAGGAATCAAAATTTACAAAACAGAGCTCAATACTTATTGTTGCAAAGAGCTAAACTTTTCTTTCAAATTAAAATGTTCAGGCTGTTTCGTTTTTTGTGCTAATGTTTTCACTTTATAAACAGACATCATTTCATATTCAGTAACAAAGTTCGATTGTTCAAACCCTGTAACTGCCGCATTGAGAATTCTCACTTCGAGGACTGTCATCCACCAACGTCAATCAGTGTACCGTCTCTGGTCAAAGTGCGATTCTCTAAATCAGCGGTGCCCAACCTTGTGCTCGCCGATCGTTTTGTATGTGCTCACCAGCCCGATTAGGTACTGTGAACAAAAAATATTTTAAAAATAACCATTCATTTATATTTAATTGTTAAAAATATGATACGCATTATATAGTCATTAGAGATATCTTGCAAGACGTTATAAAATAATTGATTGCTGACTGATGAACTTGATAGCGAACATAGAATCTTATTGCTTCATTCCGATGTTAGATGGCTCAGCAGGGGAAACGTACTTCAACGATTTGTAGAACTTCTTTCGCCAATAAAGCAGTTTTGGGAATCCAGAAACGAAAGTTATTAAAAATTGGATGATAATAATTGGTTATACGATCTGTATTTTCTCATGGATATAACAGCTAAACTGAAAAAACTGAACGAAGATCTCCAGGGAAAAGAAAAATCCCTTTTTCAATTGACTAAGACTGTAACTGCTTTTCAGATAAAGTTAAATTTGTGGATAAATCAAATGAAAGGAAACAATTTCACCCATTTTCAGAATATATCAAGCCATATTAATAACCACAAGGCAATTGAAATAGAGAAATACTCGGAAAACCTAAATGCACTGAAAAATAATTTTGAACTCCGCTTCTCTGATTTCCATAAAGTTCAACCAATTATTATCTCAACCAATTATTTCAATTATTCATCTCAAACACATTTGCCGAAATTAATATTTCAGATATATCACATAAATATGTTTAACAAAAATGCTGATATTTTGGAAATGTGCTCACGATAGGCCAAAATGTTATCTCGAGAGAGGCCAAAGGTTGGGCACCACTGCTTTAAGTAGCAGGTGTTTTAAAGTGACATGCAGGAAAAACGCTTTTACAAAAAATCTGCTTTTTCTTATGTATTATATTCTCAATTTCTAGCTTTTGTAAAAGAAAATAAAAAATAAAGATTCCAAATTTTTTTAAAAATTGCTGGCGTTCTGGAGGTCTGGGTATTGAATGTCCGGATTTGCGGACTTTGTACTGTATTATGCATTACAACGAAATTAAGAAAATCAAATTTTGAAATAAAGGCTAAGGACAATGTATATAAACGAATAAAACGGAAGAAAATACAAATGGCACAGTGCAAATAATTTTAAAAGCAAGTAACCTCTTGAACTCTCCTGTTTTACACAGTAAATCGGATAAAAAGTGCGATTAATGAAATGACATTGTATTAAATATGTGTTTGATAGAAATTTTATGGATAATATTATCTTCTTTTAAATAAAGAATATGTTTCAAAAAACATTTTCGTTATTTATTGCTGTAACAGAGATGAACTCACCTAGCAACATAAGTCGTTTCAGGCTCTCTCACAACCGTGACAAGAGGATTAGTTGGAACAGGTGGATTTTCACTTTGCTCTGGCAGTAAAGCTATTGACATGGTGTACGTGTTGTACCCATCATTCACCTTTTTTGCAGTTCTCACAGGCACCATCATTTCCAGATTCTCTCCTGTCAAAAAATAATGAATAAATACAAAGTTTTACTGATCTGAAACTGGATCATGATTTCGTAAATAAAATCAGAATTTTTTAATGTGTTCCAAGAGTTCAAAATTCAAGCATCCTCCATGTTCAAAATACCAGTACCCAATTCTTTTTAATTATCTTTTGAACATTCACAACTATTTCGAAGTAACTATTATCTTAAATTTATTTAGCATTGTTGATTATTTTGAAAATTAATTTTAAAAAAAAGTCAAATATTTTTAAAGACATCATTTACAAGCAAGTCGTATAAAGACATATCACTTCTCGTTCCCAAAAACTTTTCGAAGCCATTGTCACGGAACTCTTTCGACTATTTATCTATATTATTAGGGCACTATGCCGGTATAACAATTGATAATCTTAAGGATGAATATCAGGACGTAGTAATTAAACGGGAAAGACTAAAAAATTAAATTGAAAATCATTATTTTGAATCTGATACCGAGTCAGAAGGAGAAAGTGATCTGTCTATTAAGGAGCATTCATCCGAAGCCATATGCAGTGTTTGAAAAAATTGCATCTTGTCTGTATATAAATTACTCTCGAAATATAATTTATATAATAATGCATACGCCAATGTCTTTTTTGCTTATAAGTTTGTACTCACTCTATCTATAACGCAAGTCGAATGCGAAATAGCTTTTTCAAAGTGAAATATTATAAAACGTAGATTAAGGAATACTATGAAGCAAGCTATTTTGGAAACATTGCTATTGATGAGCATAAAGAAGGATATTTTAGCTAAAGCAAAAGTTGAAGATATAATGAAGGAAATATTTGCCCAGGCAACCTGGAATTAAAAAATATTTAAATAGCTAATTATGAATTAATCGTTGTTTAGTGTATATAATTGTTTAGTCGCTGTTACTTATTGTTATATATATATTATATATGAAATAAAGTGTTACTTCTCTGGAAAGGTATATTTTTATTTTATAAGATTATTTTTTATGATGATGATGATGACAGTGATAACTGATGTGTATAATGACATCCTATATGGGGGCCTTAGAGCCGACATATTTTTTTCTTGCCAGGGCCGATTTCTTTGGCCCATCCGCCACTGTTTACAAACATCAGAGAGTTTAAGGTTTCGCATTTAAATCAACATACTAAAATCTGAGAAGTATTGAGTAGGCTCAAATTTGTTTTAGTAGGAAAAAATACAATATAGCCAGCCACACATGGTCAACTTTCTGGCCAATTTTGCTATGCAACTAGAGTCGCAGTTCCCTGAAAGTTTCATACTTCATATACTATGCTGATTGATAAAATTTAAGGCTGATTTTTTTAGTCAAAATTAGATGATTTTTAAGGCACCATACTTCCCTTTTGCAAAGTAAATTCCTGTATATTTTAAATACATTTTTACCCCACTTGATAAACGATATAAAAACATGAACTAGATTTTTTGTGACATGTTATTCTCTTTAAACATTGGCATTTTTCTTCTTCACCTCTGTCTCTGCAACTGTCTTTTCAAGTGTTGACAATGCCTAGAAATTATGTGACTTTAAACACAGACTATATGGTAGGTATTCTTAAGTTGTTGCTTCAATTTTCGACAATATTGCTAATGCAACAACTGCAACCTGTCCTGGAGGGGGGGGAAAGAACAAAAACCACTCGCTTTTGAGCAAAATCGGTCTTTCTTCTTCACAATTCTACGAAGATGCGTTATCAGGATATTTATAGATATTAACCATCGTTCATTGTCTGCACATGGGTTAGTAGTGTTGATGGCCGCAAGAACCTGCTTTGTTCATCAGTTGCACTTGTTATCGTTATATAGTGCACCTTTGTCATCGGCATATTGAAATAAGAATAAGTATTTCGTCATAATATTCGAATATTTCTATAAACATCTTACTTCGACAAAACGTTATAAGGTTATTATTTAAATTAACCAGTTATTTATAATTTCAGCCTTTACAATAATTTCTCCTTTCCGTTTCCTCACCAAATGTAAATGAATTAAATAGTATCTTAACCGATATTTTTGGATTGTAAGACAGAGCATGTTAGTGGCCAGCGAGTGTACGCTGCATTTAGTTTCTGCTAGCTCTGATAAGTTGTAATTATTCGGCTTTGCATTATATCGCTGCCGACATTTTAATCTGATACGCCGGTAGAGTTACTGAACCAGCTTAAAGTAGGTATAAATTGTGTACTTTTTACTACTCTTCCACGTTTAACTCGAAGATGACTATTTCTGTTTAGTTCACCACGAATTGTAGCTCATTTGGTTTGCACCAGAAAATGCATTTATATTTTAATTTCTATTTAATAAAACAACGTTATTAAAATCTGTTCATGGCTTGGAGTTACTTTAGATATAGCGATGATTCTTTCACGTCTGGTTAGGTTAATAGCTCCAGATCAAGTAATAGGTGTTTTCAATGGTTGTGACTACAAATACTGACTATGGCTGTCAAGCTGCAAGTTCGGACACGGACATGTATGATCTTTACAAAACCCAGTACAGAGTTGCCACGCTTAATTAAGGGAAAAAGAAATATAGACCACATTAAAATGTTTCAAGAACTCTGATACGTTATACAGAGAGTTTAGGAAAGTATTAATGTTTTCGGAGATGACATAAAAACAGCAGGACAGATGTGAGTAACAGGGTTGTTGAAAAAATTTTAATAATGAGGTTGAATATGATTTTCAGATCCTAAGATAATAGGATCTTAAAGTATTCAAGTTTCAGATATTAAATATGTTATATACATGAATGGTCAATTGTCAGTTTTAAAAAATAATGCTAGCACAAATTCTGTGACTATCGGCACTAAGCATTTCGCAACAGAAAGAAAGTTTATCATCACAAAAACATGTAATCTTTTATATAGAGAGATAGATAGATAGGTTTTTGTGTGTGTCCCCATCATCTTAATTTTGGAAAGCTGATTTCTCGAGTATTTCGTATAGGCAGCTGCTTAATGCAATTCTCATTTTTATTTTAGTCTTAATTTCATTTAAAGAAGAACAATATTTGGAAAACCTAACATGCTTTCCCATTTCTCTTCATATACATATGCACATAGAAGATTATTTTTGACGGGCAAATTGAACATTTTAGCTATAGCATTCAGCTAGTCAATAGAACAAAGAACAGTATTTTAAATTTAAGTGCATAGCTAAGTCAGCACTCTGCAATCTTTCCTCAAAGAATGACTTACGGATTAGAGTTAAAAATTTAATTCATAAAAATAAAGATTTTCACAAAGAATATAAAATTGAATCTTCAGCACTTTTCTAAGAGAGATATGGAACCAAGTAATTATCTGCTCCTCAGTTGTAATTCAAGCAACCAGCATAAGCGTTTGCTTATTAAGTAAACCAACAATTGAAATTGTGGCTTAAATTTCATTGCCTGTGGAATAATAGTCCCCATTACCCTTTAGAAGGCCTCTTTAAGTTTCAAAGCATTTAGCTGGACGGTTCAGGTAAGCCCATAACATTCCTAACTAGATAATAGTATTTGGATTTATAAACCATCTTCTATGATCACCAAAGATTGTCTGATTTAATTTGCAGCTCCAGAGCTAACAATAACTGAAAAGCCGAGCCAAAACATTAAATAGCCATATAAGCCGGAATAGCAATTATTTGATTCTCTGGTAACATGAACTCGGCAGGCATAAATCTCTTTGCAGGGAAACTATCTTTGGAGAGCCTTGTTATGTAGACAGAATGTAAAAATTTCAGAAGTGTATATGGATCTGACTTTTTATTTATGGACAACAATGCTCGTTCACAACCAGCAAACCTCGTTGATGAATTTCTTTTGAAGTTGATGACATTGAGCCAAATGTTTCGTCTTAACCTGATATGGAACTTACTGGTCTACCTTAGAAATGGGGTTGCTTGGAAACATCCCCTTCCTAGAGATGTAATGTCCTGAAAACCGCATTGCTGGGAGAAAGGAACTTAATTCTCCAAACTGTGATGAACTGCGTTATTTCCAGCAGAAAAACACGTTGCGATATATGTATGCAAGTCTCACTTAGTAACATATTATTTGCATTTTTAGTGTTTTACTCTACAGTTTAATATCATATGAAGTGTTCTTAACTTTTTTCTTTTATATTTATCTATTATGATACTATGCATCCTTCCACACAAATTCATAAAATTATAGTATATGGTTTCTGAGAAATCTTTGATTTAATGCGTGTAGAGATAATTCTGGACATGAGTGTTGATAGTTTGTATCTTCATATTAAACCTGTTGTACATTTTAATTAATGAATACATAATAACGTTACTGATTTTAAGTGATATTTACAAAATATACTCACCTCTATCATTTGCACCTCCAAGATAAGCATACAGCAGCTTTATAAGTGGCCTGGAAACATCGGCCTTGCTTTTCCCATTTTTGCTGGCACTAACCCAAACTATCGATGGATAAGATCTTTCTTCATAACCCTATTTAAACACAATTACAATTACATATTATATAAAAAGTCCAAACTATATACACGGAGTTCAAAAGAAAATCTATGGGGCCCCTCTTTGTTTCGAAACCCCAAACTGTATGCAATAATTTTACGATAAATTGAATATATTTCATCGAATAAAAACAACTGGATGGCTTAATATAATAGCTGAAAATTACGGAAATTATGAGATTTCTAACTTTGCAACAAAGCGAGAAAATAATCGATAGCGTTTTTCATTAGTTTTTCATCATCATTTAATTCGTGTAAATCGATATCTGAAAATGCAATAACGCCGGATACCTACCAGCTATACAATATTGGATAAAACTCGATTACGAAATTCATTGCTTTGACGTAATAATGATTGTACACAAACATCTGTCGTATCTTATAATGTTTCAATAAAATGCGACGAATACCAAGCTTGTTCAACAAATAATCAGGTATTAATCGAAGTGCTTTGTTTTTGTTTGTGTTTGTGTTTATGTTTGTGTTTATGCCTGAATTAGCAAATGTAATGAATGCCAAGCTAGTTCAAAAAGCATTCAAGTGCTAATCGAATTACCTCTTTCTTCATCTTACTTCTCGTATTTATATGTAGAATGGAATAGGTATATCCCAAAACAAATTTTCTGGAGCCATTCGAATACCCGAGCATTTGAAGTCTAGCCTCTGAGTTTTTTTTAATATTCACGTAACTTTTCACTTTCTTAAAACGGCCAAAAAGCGAACTTCCGAAAATTTAAAAAAAAATGGATGCGTCCACGTAGTGTTTGGTTTCGTCTTATTAATACTCGAGGATTTGGCGTGCATGAGCTCTGACTGATAAAGAAATAGTGAAAAGCTTCTGGAAGACAGGGATATGTAATACTCATGCTTCTGAAAATAATTGCTAGAGGTAAAACACACTGAAATGTGATGAAAACGATGACAACGGTAACTATGGCTATTTGCAAACTGTAACAGACGACACAATTCCAGCAGCACTTTTGAATTTAAGCCTAGCGACAACAACAAAGGGCGGACGAGACTCAAGATACAGAGAATTGAAAATTAAAATAGCTTACAAGATATTGTAATATTACTAATACTACGCATTCTTATTGGAATGTAGGTTTCTTTTAAAAAACTAATACTGTGAAAGTTACCGGTAGTTTATCCACGAATACTTTTCATTTGTTATGTTCTTCCCGCTTTATAGTCTTACCAAATACTTTTCATTTATTATGTAACCGCGTCCTTCGGAAAATAAATTTTCCTCACAAATTTCTCCTCGAGATTTTCATATGATAAAATTAGTAAAAAAAAGGAGGAGAAATATATGAGTAAATATTATAAGGTATTTCTCCCGCCTTAGCATGCCTTCGCGGTGTAGTGGTCAGCACGCTCGGCGCGTACTCGAGAGGTCCGTGATTCAAGTCCCGGCGAGGGCATTGCTCACTTTTTATCTCTCCTGCTTCCTAATATATTTACAATATGGTATCAATAAAATTCGTTTTATCGAAAACATTTCAATGAAGTCCCATAACTATTCTTGTCAAAATTCAATTACTATGTCCCTATTTTTTAAAGTTCTTTTGTTGTTACCTCATGCTCTTGATCAGGCATGGAAAATGTTTTGACACTGCTATGCTCGTTATATTTAAACGAGATTATGTTGGGCTGAGAAGTTAACCAGGGCAAAATTATAGAGACAGAGAGGTAGAGATAGGAATTTTATATGCATAAATAATTAGACGCTAAAGTTATATCAGCGAATAAAATGCTAATTTTTATTTGAGTTAAACAGTAAAAGGAAAAAACTGCTGTCCTTGACGTCCGCTTTGCAGTTCTAAAATCTCACGTTTCTGATCATAGGACTAATAATTATCTAAGTTAACAACTTATATTATAGCTTTAGTGCAACGATGTAGATTTTTAAATTAACTACAAGCTATTTTATAAATATTATTATAATTTAAAACTGCTTAATTAACTTTTACTCTTAATTTGTTTTAGCTTAACTTCATCTGGAATCATCGTCATGTAACTGTAGCTGGAATTATCATCATGTAACTTTTTATATTGCACGAAACACGTTAGCATATTAAATTAATAAAAAGTCACTTCCTTTTAAGTTTTTGGCTTTTAACAAGCCGGACGTTCTCAAAAGATATAACAAGTATTTCGTTACTTTCTCATTATCCGCATTCCCAAGAAAATCGCCAATTTACTGTCTACGTTATAAAAATGTGTGTTTGTTTATCTTTACTACTCATAGGTAATCTTATGCTCATAACTAATAACAAAAAGAAGTATTTTATAAGAAACAAAGAATTTTATGAGATAAGATTTAAATCTATATTGTTGATTAAAAAAACACTAATCAGCAAAATGACAATTAAATATAAAGCGTATAAATCCATGTATAGTCAAAGACATATGTGGTACGCTCATGCGTGGGTTTATTATTGCTTGTAATACTCGAAAATACACAAGTAAAAAGTCATATGCCGAATATTGAAACCCTGGTCAAATAATCAGAAAGTATTGCATTTCTTTTTTAAATTAGATATCGGCTGCAAATCTCTTGTAAAAACTAACTTTATACTCCCTAATTGTCTTCGCCCCCCATGCAGTTCTCTGTGCTCTTTCCATCTACCTCAAATTTAAAACGAAATTTTGTACAAAAGAAGCTCACTTTTCTTAAAATAATTTCTTATTTTTAACAACGTTCTTTAACATTCTTCCGTGCATTTGTTTACAAACTTTAAGTAGACAGATTTCTCCACTCTGTTCACCTTTCAAAGTAATCAAGAAATCACAATCTAATCTTTGGAGTAGCAATTCAAGTTTCTAGCCAATAATCTAATCTTGCAAAGGCGGCTCTTATACTGAGTCTTCCTTCCATGAGGAATTAGAATACATTTTGTCATCTCTTTAAAATACGCGGGTGCGAATAATCGAAAACACAGGATATGCGCAAAAGATTGTTTTAGTTTCCAAAGTTAATAAACAATTTATTTCTCATTTGGGCGAACAATATACACCATCAGTAGTAACAACTGCTCAAGTTTCTCATATGTTGTCTTGAAGGAATAGACAAGAAAAGTAAAAACCAAACGGATTTTCAGGTCTCATCTCGACTGAGGATACTTGCGTTTTTTGTAAAATTTATCACGAAGTATTCCGCCAGAATAAAATTAATGGTACCATTCGATACAGAAGAGTATATGAATTCCATAATAGTTTCGAGATCTAGTTTGGCTACAGCATTTCTGGAGAAATAATCTTGAGAAGAAAAAAAAATTCTCAAATGTCAGGTATACGAAAAATACTTTTGTTAAATTTCTCAAGAAGTATTCAAACTAGAATAAAATTTATGGATCTATTTAACGCAGAAGTGCCTGTAAAATGTAAACCTCGTCAGAATCTAGTATAACTGCAAAAGTTCCGAAGATTTCAGGTATCGAGATCTAGAAAATAAAGAGATTTACAGATATAAGTATTACTAGGAATAGAATACCTAAAATTATTCTTAGCTCTCACGATAGATCTTACGATGAACATCAGCGTGGTAATTAAATTCATCATAAGCTTGGTCTTTCATGTGTCATCTGAAGACCTGCAGTACATCCGTTATCTGTGTCTAGGGGAAGAAACATACAGTGGATGGACAAAAATATGGAAACACCTTGTGAAATGCATGTTTGAAAAGAAAGACTGATTTTAATGAAATATGTAGGTGGCGCTGGCGTTTTTGACTACTGACGCCACCTATACAACTTCGTAAATGTGCTAACAAGGTAGCCGAGGTATTTAGTGTTTCAAGAGGTACTGTATCAAAGATTTATTCCGCATATTTGAAAAGCGGAAAAACAACATCTGCTAAATCACAGCGCGGACGAAAGTGTGTCCTGAGTGATCGTGACAGAAGATTATTAAGGGCAATTGTGACGAAAAATAAGAAGACCACAGCTGCAAAAGTTACTGCTGAAATGAATGTTGTGTTACCGAACCCTGTGAGTACCAAAACAATTAGAAGGGAGCTTCATAACAGGAATTGCTGGCCGTGCTGCAATTGAGAAGCCACTCATCAGTGATGCTAATGCCCCGTAACAGGAAAAGGTGGTGTTTAAGTCATGAAGCCTGGACTATAGAGCAGTGGAAGCGAGTAATATGGTATGACGAGTCTTCTTTCACATTGTTTTTCCCACTTCTGGCCGAGTTTTACGTTTGGAGAACGCCATCTCAAGCCTATAATACAGACTGCTTGTTCCAAGAGTGAAACATGGCGGGGGTTCTGTTATGGTTTGGGCAGCCATATCGTGGTTCTCTTCTAGCCCCATGATAACTGTGTCAGGGCACATGACTGCCAAGACTTATGTGAACATTTTGGCTGATCAAGTTCATCCCATGGTACAAACTTTGTTCCCCGATGGTGATGGTGTCTTCCAAGACGACAATGCCCCTGTTCACACAGCTCACATTGTCCAGGACTGGTTTAAGCACGAGGATGAGTTGTCCCATCTCCCCTGGCCACCACAGTCACCAGATCTGAATATTATCGAACCTTTGTGATCTACATTGGAACGGAAAGTGCGTTCTCGTTATCCACTGCCAACATCGTTATCTGAACTTGAAACCGTTTTGCAGGCAGAATGGTATAATATTCCCTTGGCAAACATACAGGAACTGTATTTATCCATTCCGAGAAGACTGCAAGCTGTTTTTGGATGCCAACGGGTTTCCTACACCCTATTAAGCAAAGAAACATGTTTTTAAAGGTGTTTCCATATTTTTGTCCAACCCCTGTAGCTGAAGCTACTTTTAATAAAATTTTAAGGCGAGGAAAAGCACGGTGTCAAATGTGGCAAATGGGATGGTTAAGGGAAAAAGGACTTTCAATCGAGCATTGTGAATAACACAAATCAAAAAGTACTTGCACATTCTTGTGAAAATAGAACTCTGCCCATTTGTAACGGTAAAAGACAGAGTTGCATTGAA